GCCAAAAAGAAGAACAAGAAGCAGCGGGAAAAAGGCCGAAGAGAACGAGCCGCATTGGCTGCTTCCGAAACTAAAACCAAGGAAGCTGGGCAAGCTACTGTGACTGGGGTGCTTGGAGCTGGAACCAGTAGCCGCACTGAAGCTGGGAAGGATAAAAATCCAACCCAAGTGGAAGTCGCGGCCGCGGGAACCAGATCTAGGATATCCGCCAGCAAGCAGCGAGCGGCCAAGCGTCCTGTGAAGAAGGAAAGAGCAGCCAAAAGGATGCTGGAAGAGTCCACCTCGCCTAGAGGGGAACACAAAAAAGTGCGACTCGAACAGCAACCAAAGGCTGCAAGAACGAGCTACGCTTCCGCTGCTAGAGCAGATTTGGGTGTGGCCTTAACATGTGCGCGTTCAGGTCACATTACGAAGGAAGTAGCAGACGACATCCTCGTAGCAATACAGAGGATGATAATCAGCGAGGCGTGGAGTAGCCAGGACCCTGATGCGTCGGGACCAGTTTTTAGGGGCAAACCCGTTTATACGGAGGGTGTCCTGAAACTGTGGTAGCGACGATCAGAAGGCTCTGGACTGGTTGAAGGGGAATATTGCTACCCTCGATCTCAAATCCAACACCTTGCTGACAATAAAGAAACAGTCAGAGATACCACAAAGAGTCAAATGTGGTATCCTAATCCCTGATGCCTAAGGAGCCTGGAAAGACTCACGTGACATTGGTCGCGTGCTAGCGTACCAGAACCGCTGGGTTAACATCAGGGGGCTGTTACTCAAGGCTGATAAGCAGACGGACGGGTGGTTCCTCGTTGTTTCGGTGCCGGAGGATCATATCCCGACCGACTGATGAAGGCCGGACGCCGTCTCGCATGTGTATGCGGGGCGGTATACGTAAAATTCCAGGGTCGTGGAGGTAAATCTTTGACACTCCACCGAGCAAAGAGGTAGAAAACAACCCGGAAGTTATGGATACCGGAGCCACGGTTACCGGTACAGCGGAATCACTGGAGGCCAAGCCCAGTGAAAAAACGGCCTACACAACTGAGCCGAAGCCCCCAGTGGAGATCGGGCTCAGCGGCAGCTCACTGAGTGACGAAGAGGACTGCATTTTGCCGACCACTTCCGACTCGGTGGCTAACGATGAGACCCGAGATCTTCTGGCAGGCCTATTTTTGGGCGGGGACGGGGAGGACGCGATCAATGATGGCGTGCCCTTCGTCCAAAACTAGCCTAGTGCAGGCCAACCTCCACCACAGCGAAACTGCGTCGGCTCAATTACGCAAGTGGTTGGAGGTTCAAAGGACTGCCATAGCCTTAATCCAGGAGCCGTGGGTTGGGGCTGGTAAAATTAAAGGCCTAAACAACCTTAAAGGTAAGCTATTCTACAGCTCTGAACACGACAAGCCTAGAGCGTGTATTTACACTACTAAAGATATCTGTGCACAACCATTAACAGATTTCTGTTCCAGAGACATGTATGCCATGGCAATACAATACACACAGGAGAGAAGATTAGTCGTCGCCTCGGTCTACATGCCGGAGGAAGTCACTCCTCCCCCTCATGACCTCGGCAGGCTGGTGAACTTCTGCGAGAGGACCGGACTAGAGGTTGTGATCGGGACGGACTCCAACGCACATCATCCCCTTTGGGGAATGAAAAAACCAAATGAACGAGGTAAGGTTTTAGTTGAATATTTATTTAGTACTAACCTAACCATTTTAAACATAGGTTCTGAACCTACTTTCATAAACAAACGCTGTCGCACTATAATCGACCTCACACTTGCAACAGAAGGAGCAGCCAAACTAATCACGGGATGGCATGTGTCGAAAGAGGCCTCATGCTCAGACCATAGATGGATCTGCTTCGCACTACAGGTCGATATCCCCTCTACACCACCATGGAGAAATCCCCGCAAGACGGATAAAACAAAATACCTAAATAGGCTGACGTCTTCGCTCGCGGGTTTTGAGGGGATAAATACTATAGCAGATCAGTCACTCCTAGAAGAACAGGTAGCAGCTGTTACTAAGGCCATGATAGATAGCTACCATGAATCATGTCCAGAAATCACTCCACCAAGGCATGCCGAGGTAAAGCAACAGTGGTGGGGTGAAGAACTCGATAGGAAACGTAAGAAGGTAAGAAAAGCCCCATAGGGCCATGAATACCTCAATGGATGAAGACTGGCTACTATATAAGAAAGCTAAGTCTGAATACAAAAAATGTATCAGGTATCGACGCTCGACTGGGTGGCGTAAATTCTGTGGCAACATAGAAACCTGCGAACAAGCAAATAGGATAAGGAATATTCTAGCTAAACAGAACACGTCGGGATCCATGTCTCTAAAGAAACCCGACGGTAGCTACTCAACATCGCCAGATGAAGCCCAACGCATCCTAATTAAAACGCACTTCCCAGGTTGCTGCGTAACCCAGGAGGCAAACCGGCATGACGACATACCGACACCAACAGTAGAAGACTGGAATTTAGCACAGAGAGTGGTAACGATGGACAAAATCCATTGGGCCATTCACAGTTTCCTCTCCTATAAGGCGTCAGGACCTGACGGCATATTCCCGGCACTCCTACAGTGGGGGGGGGGGGGTAAAGCCCTAATAGTCAGACTTGTTGCCATAATGAGAGCCTGTCTGGCTCTTAAATATGTTCCTAGGGGATGGAGGGAAGTGAAAGTCACATTTATACCCAAACCAGGTAAGAGCGATTACACTGACCCTAAATCCTACAGGCCCATTAGCCTCACATCCTTTCTCCTAAAGACGATGGAGAGGATGTGTGAAAGGGAATTAAGGGGGTCGGCGCTAATGAACTTACCACTACACGACAAGCAACACGCCTACAATCTAGGCAAATCAACAGAATCGGCACTTCATCAGGTAATTACAAAGATTGAAGAGGCCATCCAAAACAAAGAAATATGTCTAGGTTACTTCATAGATATAGAAGGTGCTTTTGACAGAACGAACTTCTCCAGCATAAAAGGTGCACTCAGTAGACATAAAGTTGAACCGGCACTGATCGACTGGATAGTTCGCATGCGCAGTACACGAATAATAAAGATTACTGGTGAATCTCAACCAATCCAAATTAAGAAAGGCTGCCCGCAGGGTGGGGTTCTCTCACCTCTCCTGTGGAATATGGTCATTAATGAACTCATCAGCAAATTAAATACTAATCACTTCTATACAGTAGGTTACGCTGATGACCTGACAATACTGGTCTCGGGAAAGACAGCAAGCATAGTGTGCGACCTGACCCAAGCGGCTCTCCGTATAGTGGAGAGATGGTGCAGGGAATACGAATTAACCGTCAACAACAACCAAATAAAACGGTTTTAGTAATGTTCACACAAAAACGAATGCTGAATAACTATCATCTTCCAAGTCTTTTCAGCACAAAACTCCAGCTATCCTCTGAGGTAAAATATTTAGGTCTTACCTTGGACAGCAAACTTAACTGGAATAAACACATAGAAAACAAAATCAACAAAGCTAGTATAACTTTCTGGCAATGCAGAAACATGATTGGCAAAAGATGGGGACTGACGCCAAAAATCATACTGTGGCTTTACAAAACTGTAATTCGGCCCATGATCACATACGGCGCTCTGGTATGGTGGACCAAGACAAATGAAGCCACCACAATTAAGAAGCTTCAGCGCTACCAGAGACTGGCATGTATGGCTGCCACAGGCTGCATAAGAACTACGCCAACAGCAGCCTTGGAAGCGATGCTGGAGCTAACTTCGCTTCATCTACATATACAACAAGAAGCGACTTTAGCTGCCATCAGACTCAAGACCCTAAATCTTTGGAGTAAGAATAGTGTCCCTCATACAGGCATAATTGATAGAATTCACTCAGAAATTCCTATCCTACAGGCCAAATACGATAGGATTCCTAAACAATTCGTTTTCGATAAGAAATACAAGATACAATTAAATAAAAACAGCCAGCCGGAAGGATTAAGCCCAAAAGAGCTTAGAATTTTCACCGATGGTTCTAAAACAAATGAAGGTGTAGGTTCTGGAGCTTTCTCTGAAGACCTCAATATTCACATATGCACACCGCTGGGTACCTATAACACGGTCTTTCAGGCGGAATGTATGGGTATCATTCAAGCGGCCATAGCAATAGATGCTAGGAAGGTTAATGACTTCCCCATCAGAATACTGACCGACAGTAGGGCGGTACTACAAGCTCTGAGTTGCAATGGGGTGAACTCGGGACTAATATATGAATGCCATCAACGATTAAATGAGGTATGTAAAAACAACAATGTGACTCTGCAATGGATAAAGGGACACAGTGGATCCAGAGGCAACAATGCAGCGGACGAACTGGCCAGAAAAGGATCGGCTCTGGCCACTATAGGGCCGGAACCAATCATACCAATCCCCTTTGGTAACATTCGTTCAATGGTACGTAGACACTTCACTAATCAACACGCTCAGCTTTGGAAAAATCTAGTAGACTGTAGGCAAGCTAGGGAGGCCCTACCTGTAATAAACAGTCGCTTAACCAAAGTTCTAATGAGACTGAACAAGCCGCAGATCAGGATAGTAACAAGTGCTATCACAGGACACGGCACCTTTAACAAACATTTATTTACTATAGGTGTTACAGATAGTCCCCTATGCAGGGCATGTATGGGGGAGGAAGAAACGGCGGCCCACGTGCTACTGAAATGTCCGGAGGTCGCTACGTACATGGCTAAACATCTCGGCACGCCGGGATCACTCCCCGAAGTTGCATGTAACATCAAGGGACTGTTGAGCTTCTTCGGGGAGATCTCATGGCTCGAATAATCACATTATTCCTGCCCACACGCAAAATACGCGCATAGACGTGGAGTTGCGGAAAACAGCCCGTCGCAAACTAACTAACTAACTAACTAACTATATACATGACTCGCACTAACTCTTCAATAAAAAAAACTCAATAAAGAATAGAGCACATTATTAAAAAAATAGTGATGTACCTAGCTTGAGCTTGTTAGCAGGATGAATGGCACACCACTGCTCACATCGCACAAGACCTTGCTGTATGAGCCACTCCGTGAACTTCATAGGCGTGTGGATGAGCACCGACTTCACTTTGCTGTCCAGAGCCGCGCGGTCGGATGGCGGCGGCGCTTCCTTCGCGCGGAGATACGGCCGCGCCACCACCACAAGTGATGGGAATGTTTTACCTAGAACAAAACATTCAAGGTATTTAAAATGTTTACCGTCTCAAGACATTTTCAGAATAAACTATTGTATTACAAAATAATTTATTAAAATTGCTTTATATTACTCATATATAAAAATCAATTGCTGTCCGCCGGTCATGCTAAAACTCGAGAGATTTTGAAGAATTTTTTGTGGGTCAATTGGACCCGGGCTGTACAGATCCAGAAATCATCCGTGCGTGGCCGGGGCTGTTCGCTATTTACTTATATTTCCCACTTATATTTTACTGCTGTTAGGTGTTATAAGACATCCAGAATACAAATTTAACAAACATAATAATTAAAAACATACGACATTTATACAACCCTTCTATATTTTTTAATAAAAAAATTTAATTCAGTCTAGCTTTTCAGGAACAGGTAAACATTTTCGTAGCCACAAGTGCCTATAATTTTATAAATCGCTTATAATTTTAATCAATGTGTTCTACCTTGTGTCTAAAATTTACAACACTTAACTATAATAAGTTCCAACAGCAAGGTAATACTCCTCACGGCACGCAAAACCATAGCATATGCCAGGTGATGAAACTATCTTAATTGTAGTCAAAAGCAAACCCAAAGGGAGTTAAAATAAATTAAAGTAAAAAAAAAACAATCTGCTTTATATACAGACGTGGCGCGCCGTATATTCTTCAGAGATGTTCAAACATCCTAATAGGTATTAAAGTATGAAGTTGCGGTTTAAAAACAATTTAACATTAAGTTCAAAAAAATTTTTGCCATCTCATTTTTTTTCTTTTAATTGTTTTTACGTTCAGTATTTGAGTAAAGCATGGAGATCTCAGAAATTAGATCAATTATATGATAATAAAATACAAGTACATGCAGAAAGTCGATGGATGTAGGTGGGTCAGGATCGTGCTTTGTGGCATTCTTTGGGGGAGGCCTATGTTCAGCAGTGGACTTGTGAAGGGCTGTGATGATGATAATGAAAATATAGTTCCGACATGATTGTAATACAATATAGGCAGCGCACTACGCGTTTTTGGTTTATTCGAATTAATTCTGGAAACTTCGAACTGAAAACTAAACCACATGGAAGGACAGGCACTAAGGTAAATAAAGATGAATTAAAAGTAATGGTAAACGAAATTAGCGTCATGGTTGACGCACGTATGATTGGCGTCTGGTGCACTACCCACAATATTGACTCACTTGTAAAAACTTGGTAAAATTAAAAATAAACTTAAGGAAAAGTGCCTCATGAATTGATGTTCATAGAGGAAAATGCGTTGAAGCTTGCCTTGCTTTGTTAAGTAGGTAAGATTTTAACAGAATTATGGCATGTAATCCAAACGGAATTCTTTACAAATGTAAGTGAAAAAACGTTATGTTATAACAATGCTCCAAAGCGAAGCTTTTTGAGATCTGGTGTATCAATGATGAAAACTTTATCAGTGATGGGGAAACTTTCAGATTAACAACTCCGTGGGTTACATAACAGCTTATATTCCCTATTATCAGCTTTAAGAATCCATTCTTTTTAAGTTTTTTACTTCCACTACTACAAGTGGAAGTAAAAAAACAAAATAAGAATGGATGGGTTTTTTTTTTTTAATAAAAGAAGAAACAATCCCAATTAGTCAATCAACCATTGCTCTATGATAAAGGAAGACCTCATATTGCTCAACAAACTGTTTACACATTACAAGACCAGCAGATCAAATTAGTTCTCGCTGTGTTTTCATGCACAGAGCAATAAGCTTGTCTTGCCAACTAGGTTGATCTAGTATATTTGACATATCTCTGATTGGAAACTTTAAATATCAACTATAGCTGCAAGTGGGTAGACCTATATGTATATGATACTCAACAACATATTGGTTGAGTCTGGTTATTTCTTTCTTTTTTTAACATCTTTTCCTTTTTTTATAAAAATCAAGTTACCCTTCAAAAGGCTTTATAGTAAAAAAAAAAACACTACTAACCTTGTAATTTATTAAATGATACTTCTCGTGAGTCAGCAACATTCTTGTTGCTGTCATCCTTAGTAAGATCGACAATAGCTGTTGTTTTGGTAGCACTCCCAGTCAGCAAACCACCAATTGCAGTGGCTTCAGATGGACGAACATTTGTAACAACACTGTGTACATCTGTTGATAAAATATTAGAACAGTTTCAACCTTGCCAGAAAAGTTTAAGCAAAAGTTTCAAATACAGGGTGTCCAGTAGGAAAATTCAATTTTCAAATTTGAATTACGCAGCAACGATTGGCGCGGTGGAAGTGGGGAGAGGTCTAAATCGACTTGTCAGGCGTGCGGGTTTAACAGTCGCGATGGAGCTGCTGCGCTTCGGAAATTTCGTTCTCAATACAATATTCGCCGACCAAGAGATGCCCCAAGTGTAAACCTCTTAAAAAAGTGGATTAAGAAGTTTCGTGAAACGGGTTCTACCATTAATCAACCCATTCCAGGCCGCACACCTACTGTATCAACCCAGGAAAATGTGCGCCGAGTAAGTAATTCGGTCCTTGCAAATTCGCGGTGTTCTTTACAGAAGCATTCGGCTGTTTTAGGAATCCCTAAATCAACAGTTCACGTCATAGTTAGGAAAAAGATGCGTTTTCATCCCTATAAAATACAGTTAGTGCAAGCTTTAAAAGAAAGTGATTACTTATTACGGAAATCTTGTGCTGAAAAGATGTTGGAAGTTTTTTCTACACAGCGTAAACTCAATAACATTGTTTTTAGCGATGAGGTCCATTTTCATTTGAAATGCTATGTAAATAAACAAAATTGCAGATTTTGGGCACCAAAGAACCCAAAAGACAGACATCAACGACAGTTACATAGTCCAAAGGTGACTGTTTGGTGCGCCATAACCTCAAGTGGGGTTATTGGGCCGTGTTTTTTTTGAGAATGAGAACGGTCATGCTTTGACGGTCAATTCGGAGCGATATAAGAACATGATCGACAATTTTTTTGCTCCTATTGTAAGAACGGAATGCCGTTTTAGCAGAAACACGTGGTTCCAACAGGGTGGAGCCACTTCCCACACCTCCAGAGAGTCGATGGACACGATAAAGTCACTTTTTCCACAAAAATTGATATCGAGGTTTGGAGACATCTGCTGGCCACCCAGGTCGCCCGATCTCACACTATGTGATTATTTTCTGTGGGGCTATCTAAAGTCAAAAGTTTATTCAAACAAACCACAAACACTAGCGATGCTGGAAGAAAATATCCGGCAAAAAATAAACAATATCTCCCCGCAACTGTGCAAGAAAGTGTTTGAAAATTTGCGTGTCCGATTAGAAGAATGTGTACGAAGAGATGGTAAACATTTGCAGGGAATAATATCCAAAAAATAAAACCCGCAGAGATTCTTAATATTGTCATATTTAATAAAATATTTTGCATTCATTAACTTAGTATTATTTTCCCTAAATCGAAAAATGAACTTTCCTACTGGACATCCTGTATATGTACTCTTTAAAAATTATCAAATAATATACAAATAATGACATTACCGAAAAATTAAAACCTCATCTTATTACTGGTTTATTGATAGTCTTGGGTTTAAACTATGATTTATGAGTTTTAACTAAAGAAGTCTCATAGCCACTGTGCAACAATCCTTGCAAAACATTTTACAATTTTATTCACAAACTTCCAAAGGACTTCCTTTGTGAAACAGATGTTACTTTGAACCTGAGACTAAATATAAACTACTTTTTGTAATAAAGCCCCATATTAAAGAATATAATTTTTTCACTATATGTAAATTTCTTTTACTACAATTTGCTTAAAATAAATAAAATGTTTAAAATCTTGCAACAAGTAGTAACCGTATTGCTAACCGATGGCTATCTGCACATGTTTTTTTTTCATTTAAGTTTCCCCATTTAACTGAATATTATTTTATTTTTCGTTGGGTAATTTTTATTGAAACTTACTACTTACCATACAAGTTGGACAGCAACTTTCCTGTCCTTTTTTTACATATTGTATATAAATTAAATTGTTTACTTACTGGAGGGAGCAAGTGTTTTATCCTTAGTTTTAGTACTCTCCTTATCTTTTTCTTTCTCCTTTTCCTTCTCTTTTTCTTTTTCTTTGTACTTATCTTTATCCTTCTTTTTCTTTTTATGTTTCAGTTCAGGTGACTTGGCCCTATCCGACACTGGTGAATAATCGTAATCTTCTTCTCGAGCCTTTCGGGGACGCCCTTGAGGAAAAAGTTTTATACTTTAAACATGATGACTAGCAGAATAAAACCCTTCAACGGCTTATTTATGTTTAAAAATGGCAATAAAAAGAATATACATGTAATAGAATTGGCTTACTCCTAACTTTTAGATAAAACCCTTCAACGGCTTATTTATGTTTAAAAATGGCAATAAAAAGAATATACATGTAATAGAATTGGCCTACTCCTAACCTTTAGATTTTAGCTGCTACAGAATAATTATTTTTGTAACCACTTAAGTTAAACATCATTCTTCTAAAAAAAAACATAGCGTCGGGTTGTAAACCTCTTCATTTTTGGGCTATCAATTGAATCACTATATTAAAATAAATTATTTTGAGTAGGAACTTGAAAAAAGTAAATCTTGAGAGCAATTCAATATAATTTCATTAATACAAGAATTCTTACAAAAAGTATTTCAAATGTAAATTCTTAAAACAACAAGCATTAAGTATTGTACCTCTTTTTCCAGTTTTCTGTGTTGTTTCCTTACTAATAGAGAGAGAGCGGGATCTTGATCTAATAATCTCAGCACTCTGTCTTTCCAAATCTTTAAGCACAGGTTGTCTGAAAATGCAGCATAGAAATGTTATTTATTTAAATTTTTCTTATCCTATACTATTTCACAAGTAATACATATAATTGTTTGTAATCCCATTCTCAAAAATGACTCTATTTTTTGACGAATTTTACAATATCAGGGTTTATGGGAGTGAAAAATTGATTTAGCTAGGTACTCATTTCTGGAAAAAAATTTTTGTTTCTCCATGTTTTCACACACAAGGTAAGAAGCTTGATGTGCCCATGCCATATGATTGGTAATTTTGTTATAGAGATCATGTTCTCGACAGCTGGACAAAACTTTTTTTATAGAGTTACAGTTTCAGCGAGCACACAGTAAAATAAGTAACCACAAAGCCTGTGGAGTTCTAGCCTAATTCAACTTAAAGGATTTCTGGGTGTAAAGTATACAATAATCATTTGTTTATTGTTTGTAAACATAATTTGTTAAGAGAGTATAGGCCACCAGAGAATAAAAATACCTTAGAAGTATAATAATGTGACACTAATATTTATCATGGTCTTACGCCTTTGTTCCACTTACACAATATTATGTATGCTATCCAGCATAATGATTTCTTATATTTACGCGAACACTACACATTGAAATAATACTAGTTTTTACGGAATTTATCGCGTATATTTAACTTTTTAATACCCGACGTTTCGAACGCTTTACAGCACCCATGGTCACGGGAAGGATTGAGATGTTCAACGTCCAGATGTCATAGTTAACCGCGGTTACCATAGATTAAAATTTAACTTTTGTTCCGATCTACACAGTATGAACTTATGGTATCATGAAGTCTTGAGACGCTCCGGGAAGTCTGCAGTCTGTGAACATGTACAGGATCGCCCCCGTCACTACATCAGATTTGATAGACCACAAATCCTCAAAACACCGATTCCTTCCAAGGATGATTCGCGAGGCTATTGAACTCAAAAAACATCCTAATTTCAATAGAGAAGATGGCTGGGTGCTACCATCTGCTTGGGATTCCTATAATAAATAAAATTAAAACCCAACCCAAGCATACAACTGCAAGACTTCATGATACCATAAGTTCATACTGTGTAGATCGGAACAAAAGTTAAATTTTAATCTATGGTAACCACGGTTAACTATGACATCTGGACATTGAACATCTCAATCCTTCCCGTGACCATGGGTGCTGTAAAGCTCTCGAAACGTCGGGTATTAAAAAGTTATATACGCGATAAATTCCGTAAAAACTAGTATTATTTCAATGCTATCCAGCATTTACAGTAATGTTGCAACCATTTTTCGATTATAAGTTGGTATTGTTATAATCGAGGACCAAACCTCTACACAACACCTTAATCCAGAAACTCCTGCCACACAATAGCAAATCCAAACCTTATCCTTCCCCGCTTCAGCCAACTCATTCATGCTATAATCACAATATAGCTGCTGCATAGCTCCACCAGATATAATAGTGTGATATTTTTATCATCATTACATCCCATCATAATCAAGACTAATATAAGCATGGTCTTGATTCCAAGTCTTGTTATCTAGTTAATAAGGAATTAACCCAGATACTGCGACGGGGCTTTTAAAAGACCCGAAAAAATTATTAAAAATACCCTCAAGTTTCGAGTTGTTAAAATGAATTCTCTAAGATATTTGCACTGTCAGGTTACTTAGTACCTATCCGTGTATGATTTCATGCGGTGTTGTTTACAACTAGACACTTGTTTATTTAAAGTTTTTGTGTCATTGAAGACTTAGGAGTATTAGTGTCATGATGTCTGGACAAAGGTAAGCTTTTATCATTTATATATCTGGATGTTGTTGCTAATATATTTTGATATTTAATTTTAGATATATTATCTACAATATCAGGTTATCTATTTGTTTTGGTGCAACAAAAACTCATTCCTTTTTCACATTTCAAATTGATGGTCTTTTAAAAGTCCCGTCGCAATATGGGGGTCTATAATATTATTGTTTTCTTTTTAGCACGCGACCTTTGAGAGCACTCAATCTCAACGATATAGTTGATGAATTAGAGCGATGTGAGGATGATGATTTGTTGCCAACTCAAATTACAATTTTTCCACCTGAGAACGCTAATGCCGATGTCACAGATGAGGATTCTGGAGATGAAGAATTTGTTGCATTGCAAAATCTACCAGGTAAAATATTTGTTTTCGGGTTGATATAACTACGTATCAATGATTCTATCTTGTTTTATTTATATGGTTGCAATATTTATATCTGTTTTTTATAGGCTCTCAACTACGAGCTCCAGCCGAGGTCACTTTTCATATGAATTCCGACGAAGAAGATGATGTACCTTTCTTTGTCAAAAAGAAGACGCACGATGGATTTGACTTTAGAAGATAGTGACGCCGTACCTTCTTGTACTTCAGATGTGTCAACTAATTCTACATTTGTTCAGCCTACAGTTCCCCGAAACCAAACCTATAGATGGAAGAATCGTCATATTCCAAACCATTTCAATCAATGGAATGACGAACAAGGTTCCAAAAAACTTACAATCACCCTTATATTATTTCGACTGCTTGTTCAACAACAATGTTATTGAATTACTAGTGCGATATACCAATTTGTATGCAGGACAGAGGAATAAAGTGGGCAAAGTAACTGTTACTGAAATGAAGTGTTTCTTGGGCATCCTTATGTACAGCGGGTATGTAGTAGTACCCCGTAGGTTTATGTATTGGGAGACATCGACAGATGCCGACTTTAGGATTGTGCACAACGCTATGTCAAGAGTTCGTTTTACTTTTATTATGTCAAATCTCCACTGCTGTGATAATACAGTTCTTGGTGATTCTCCTGACAAATTCGCTAAGTTGAGACCTCTATTTGACAAGTTAAATAAAATCTTTACTGAAAGGGCTCCGCTAGAAGAGAACTACAGCATAGATGAGGCTATGGTTCCATACTATGGACGTCACAGTTGCAAACAGTTTATACGTGGCAAACCAATTCGTTGGGGGTATAAACTGTGGGTTGGTGCTACAAGACTAGGCTACATGATTTGGTTTGATCCTTACCAGGGAAAATCTTCAACCATTGCAGAAGGTTACAAACAGTTTGGTCTAGGTGGGAGTGTGATTTTGGAGTTGCTGATGTTCTACAAGGTCGTGATCCAACATTGCCATTTCATTTATTCTTCGACAATTATTTTTCCTCTATTCCTCTACTGCATGAACTTACTTAGGTCTGAGAGCCACTGGAACTATTCATGAAAACAGAACGTCCAAGTGTCCTCTCGAGTCTAACAAAGATTTCAAAAATACTGATAGAGGTTCATTTGTATTCAAATCCAGCTTGCCTACCAATATTTTGGTTTGCAAGTGGAATGACAATAGTGTCATTACTGTTGCCTCGAATACTGAAACTGTGGAGCCCCTGCAAAAAGTCAAGAGATTTTCGCAAGAACTAAAAAGATTTGTACATATTGACCAACTGTCGGTTATAAGAAAATACAATGAAAATATGGGAGGGGTCGATAGATCCGATCAAAACATAGGGTTGTATATTCGTGGCAAGAAATGGCATTTTTCACTGTTTTGTCACACTTTACAAGCGAGACGGTGGAGAACATAATCATCTCACTTTTCGTAGACTACTGGCGAAAGGTTTGCTCGAAAGCTACAAAAAAGTGATAAGAGAGGACCATGTCCCACAGGTAGATCTCATCTTGAATCATCTCGATATGATGGGGTTGATCACTTGGTCCAGTACAGTGCTCCCCAACTAAGATGCAAAGTTTCAAAGTTAAAAGTTTTTTTATTTGCCAAAAGTGTAAGATTCATTTACATCCTAAGAACTGTTTCCTTGAATATCACACTAAAACTCAGTAAAGTTAGTGAACTTTACTGACTTTTAGTGTGATATACTTAGTGAAGTGCTGTTGTTTTATTGTGAGACATCATATCACATAACTTGCTATACCTATGTCTATTTTCTTTTGTATAGTTAAAATTTACCGTAATAATAAAAAAACTAATATAATAACAGTTTGTTTTATTATTAGACCGCCACATACATGTAAACAATCCCCATATTACGACGGGTCTTTTAAAAGCCCACCCTTTTCTGGCTTTTCTGAAAACATGTAATTTTTTTTACTATTTTTCCTGGTTATTATGAGTCATTTTAACTATCATATCCGAATATCACCAAGATCGAAAACAAAAAATAGTTACAGTAACATCTGGGTTAAGAGAAAACTGTGTACCAATGCTTTTATATACACTTATGGTAATACATAAATGCTGCCAGTATACAATTTATCTTTGTGTCTCTAACTTCTTAAATTTTAAAGTTTTAAATATTTACTTTAAAGATTAATAAACAAGACTTACTTTCCAAGTAGTTGATATGCAGTGAACTGATCACCATTGTATACTATTTCACCACCAGTGCTCTTGACCATATCGTCCAGTTTATTCTGGATACTTTTATATTCATCATCAGCATTCTTGTATGCTTGAAGTTGTACTTCCGATAATTCTTCTTCCCAGCATTCAAGCTCCAATGTTGGAACATCAGGACCAAAATACGAACGCTTGTATAAATCGGCTTCAATTATTTCTGCTTGTGGTGGTACAACCGGTTCCAAAGGAGGAGACTAGCATAGTGCAAAAAATATATTACTTTTACCATATGAACATTATGATTTGTATCGTACTAACCCTAATGGTTTAAATTGTGGTTTTGTTTACAAATATTTCGACTTACCTCATTATCAACTTTATGCTTTTTGAGCTTCATAATACTCTGGAATAATTACAAAAATACAAAAACTTGTTATAGTAAACAGTGGTCACAGAACACTGTTTACACTAGGTATATATACTTATAATACTCTTTGCAAGCAGGTAGTGAACGCTAAAAGCTAGTTTTACTTCATATCCTATGACTTTTTAGTAGCTTGTGCTCTGTGGGGTAGAATTTCAAAATAGAAAGAACATTTGTACCTAATAACTAATTATCTTTGGATTCTCTGTCACGATTTATCTACAAGGTAGGTACAAGCCGCCGAACAGAAAAAAGAAAAAAACAGAAGACAGAAGTACTTATCGCTCTGGGTTCTAGCCCTTCTGAGTGTAACTTATTTTTTTTAATCAACTGGCTTTACAAAAGTATAACTTACGTTAGTACTCTTATTAGTTTGTGGTATAACTTAAGACCATGGAGGTTAAAGAACAAGAGAACAATCGCTACGTACTAAAGCATAGCCCGCCTGTCCTTGAAAATTGTAGTATTTATAGCGGCGCTGACGTTGGTGAGTAGTGACTGACTAGGTGAGAAGTTAGCTGTTTATGAGTACAAGTAGATGAAGTTAGTTGAATAATGTACAAATTTTCTTCGCGGCATTGGTGAGAAAATTTTCATGCTCCGTAATTTTTAATTTTTGACAAAAAGAAACATTAAAAATAGAGAAATATTTTATTATGCGTGGATGTGCAAGTGGCTTTGAGTATTAAACCAAAGGAGACGGCATCGCAAGGCATATCCCTCTGTAAAAGGTACGAGAGTCCGACTCATACTCGTTATATAAAACTAGTTGCTCCGCGTCGTACGTCACTCCGAAGTGATCGTGCCAGTAAATCGAGCTCCGACAAAATGCCGAATTGCGAAGTGTATTTACATGAAAAAAAAACAATCAAAAACGTCAAGTATACAAAAGGACAATGTGACCTTTCATCTGTGAGTATTTTTAACACAATATTAAAGTAATGTTATCATTAAAACTCGTACTTTGTGAATATTATCGTCCAATATCAAGTGTGGCCATCATAGTTCATAAGGTGAAAAATAATCTATTTTTAAATAAATATAATTTACTACACAAGTTATATATAGTAACGAAAATATATATCCTAAAAACTAAATCAGTTTGTGATGAATAATAATCATTACATATAGATGTGTAGTGGATTTTGTTAAATGATTTATATATTCAGCTCAATTTCAACACGATACTGAATATTATATAATTAAATATAATCGATAACTAGTATTTATTAAAATGTTATATAAAATACAGGCCAAATAAGTCAAATCGAAACTTGTTACCTTGCAGCAAAAGTGTGCAATTTTTATAAAAATAAACTGGTATCACTGCAACCGAAAGTATTGCACTATAGTTATGAACGCCGCAACTTTAGCTATCGATAAGTTAATTAACCATGCGGGTTTGTCTGCCGAACCGGTTTGTATATTTATTTAGATTTTATAATAATGTATTACAAAAAGTAGTAAATTTTTCTATTATTGGTTTGTTTTTACAGATTTCCAAGAGATCCTCTTAGGCGGCACACTTGGATTATAGCTTGTAGAAACCATGAATCTGACACTGTAGTACCAACCTTGAACTTGTCGGAGGTAATGTTTGGCTATAATTATATTTAGATTAAATATTTTTATTATTACCTTGACACCAATATTATTCTACTTGAAAATATTTTATTAAGTTTACAAAAGCATCAACCTATCAAATTTAATTCATATAATTATATACCTATTATTGTAATTGTAAACTTAATGTAGTATAATTTTTGTACGCCATAAATGGCAAAACATGTAGCGTGTTTTAAGTTTTTAACACTTGTATTTTATTTACTCATGTTTTACAAAATATATTTATCTTTATCATATATATATATATATATATATATTAGGGTAATCGTGGTGATTGCACAAACTTCTACATCGAAAAAAGAAAGCTGGATGTTCCGGCAAAATTCCATAAGTTATCTCGAAAGTCACAATTCGAAAAATAAATCCTTATATAGCCCGAACTAGTTCTACTCCCACTGCAAGTACAAGCCAACACTTAGGCCAAGCAAAATTAAAATGAAAAAATGCCTTGACATAAAAAACAATAGCATCGCTGACCAGGGTTTACTCAAGAAACACTGACGGCATTAAAATTGAGAGCGGAGAGTAACTCTGATAAAAAAAATTTTGTATCGTGGTTATGGATGAAATGAAAATTAAGCAATTGACAGAATACCATGCTAGTAGCCAAAGGCATTATGTATATAACCAAAATGTCTTTTAGAACTTGCATGGTACTCCGTCAATTGTTTTATTTTCATTTCATCTATTACTAATATACAATTTAAGGATGGCCCATTTCAAGATGTCCCTAAGTCCGTATTTACACCTTTGAGAAAATGCAAAGATAGTTTTTAATTTTGCTTTTGAAATACCACCTTAAGGAATAAAAATATATCTGTGACACCAACGTTTACCGTAAGGTCTATTTCGTATACATTTAAAATTAAATATAATCTTTTTAATTTTGTTTAAAAAAATCGTAATAAGTTTCATGGACTTAGGTCATAAAAATCTTGGACTTAGGACTTTTTATACTGGACTTAGGGATTTTATACTGGACTTAGTGACATTCATAAACTAGGAATTGGACTTGGTTTTCTGACAGAAAAACTAACTAAGTAACCAGTCTTGAAACTTTATAAGTAAGCTATCTTGATACTTTATAATAAAATACCGTAAATTATTTATAATTTTTTTAATTGACCAATAAAATGAAGATCACAATCTTACTTACTTACTAATATTGTGCTTATAAACTAAAAACCCACCAACTGAAAAACTATTCCATTTCGTCAGCAACATCTTCAGCAGCGTGATCACCATATTCGTTACTTTCGATTATTTCAGTGTAAAAATTCCTTAAATGTTCGGGTACATATTTCAAAAGCTTTTTTATGTCTCTCACTTTAGCTTCTATAAGCTTTATTTGGCCATCATAGCAATCGACTGGCATTTCTCTTAAAATTCTTGAAACTCCAGTTTGGTATAGTGCAAAACGATTCAAGTTTTCACTCATCATAGATTGTGTCATTTCAGGCTTATATATATATATATATATATATATATATATATATATATATATATATATATATATATATATATATATATATATATATATATATATATATATAATATTTTCACAGTACAGCAACAAAACACCCCGGAAAATAGAAGAAAAAAAACACTGTTAAACAAAAGGAAAGAGCGTTATTTTTTCAAATAATGACATGGTGTGACAGTAAAAAGGACTTAGGACTTAGTGACATTTAGAACTAAAACTAGAGTTATTGGGACTAAGGCACTTCTTGAACTGAGTCACGTTGATTTAGGGTATAAAATGTATTTTAAAACTACCACTTAGGAACTTGTTACAAATGTCTCAAATAGACAGAACCATAGACAATGAGCTGTTATTTATTATGGTGCTGCCAGTACATAAATTCCCTAAGTGGACTTAGGGACATCTTGAAATTGGCCATCCGTAACCCTGACAAGAAATTTTTTTTCTTGTCAGGGTAACTCTCCTGTCTAAGTTTTAAAACAGTTAACGCTTTTTTTGTGTAACCAAGTCGGCCATAAATTGTACTCCAACACTTTGTTATAGTATGTGATGAAGGCAGACCAATTTCAAAACTTTTGATATTTCGCACATATTGTTAAGCTTTCGGTGAATAGTAATGTAAAGTTAAAGCAAAACATCTTTCTGGGGAATACTTAGCCCTAGGTAGATGTCACGTTTTACTTTTAAGCAGCTGTCAGCTTAAAGTTCACTTTGTTAAACTATTATATAGTGTAAAACTTTTTTGTTTTCCTAATTTATTAAATATTTTCCAGATAGTTCATTTAATAACTCTTGAAAATCAACAATAAAATAAAAAATAGCGGTTTTGTGATTGAAGCCTTATAATAAAAACAAAAACTTGGTTAAAACCATCTAAGACGATAAACTGATAGGACTTTTCTTTTCACAATTCTGATTTTTAAAATAAGTTAACTAAACCTCCTATTTCCATTTGTTAAATGTTTTAAATTTTATCCTGCATAATGTAAAATAAACCTGTAGCAAAATAATAAACTTATTTTCAATCATTTCTAAGTTTTTTCCCGAAGAACATTTCTAAATACTTTAAAAAAATAATTTCAAATAAAATTGTTATTATTTATCTATGTATTACTTATAATCAAATAAAAACTTATGCGGACTATGGTGATTTGTTTATCGATAAAAAATATCGACATAGTCCACGCCTTACGTTGCTTACGCATTTAGACAGCGCCATCAGTGTATTGACACGTGTACAATTTGATGGTATGCGTAAACGCGATGAACACAAACACAAATGCTGTAGTGTGCGTTTATAGTGACGCGATTTAATTTTGCATTTGTAGTTAAGTATACAGTTGTGTGGTTTGCTTGTGCCCCCCTGATGTTGACAGAATTTTTGTTTAAGAATTAACGCGCATGGCCTCTCCAGTTGATTGAATACTCAAAGGCAAGTGGTTTAGCATCTGATCGGAAAAACAGACTGAAAATGACTTTTATTGAGCGAACTTAGCGATCGCAGCTCCATAACTTAAGACCACAGAGTACTTTTTATATCAGAATACAGAGTTGAGTAGTGTAGCCAAGACTAGACCGGTCCGAGCATTGAGTTTTACAAAACTAGAGGAGCAAACAACATTAACGCGCGTCGGAAAAAGTGTAACCACCATCCAACCGCGACGACGCAGCTTTGAAATTACTAAACATTTTAAATAAACATATATCTGTCTCACTTACAATTGCAACAAGTTGCAAAAACAATACCGTCGCTAAAATTAGATAAAGATAGACACACAAACATGCAATGACGGGTTGGTGTGGCTTACTATATGAAATTTTATCCAAAATACGCAAATAAAAGGAGTTTTATTAAGCTGCAATT